TTAAGTATTTGAATAGATTTAGGTTAATTTTGAATTAGCTATAGAATTGAGATATTGACAGAAATATTTTCTACGCTGTATATTTTATTTGTAAATATTGAATATAGGTTTGAATTAGTTTGAATTAACCTAATAATTTCCAAGATATGCGTAAAAAATATTCTATGTTATATATTGTATTTGTGAATATTGAATGTAGTTTGAAATAGATTTGTAAAAAATTTAGGTTAGATAGGTTTGAATTAAATTTGTGTTCGAGTTATCACAAAATATGAAAAAAAAAATAATCATATTTAATTTTTTTTTCTCTTTTATATCCTTTTGTTATTTGTAACTTAGTTAATATTATAGCTATATGTTCAAATTTCATAATGATGAAACATTATTAACATCAGTTGTATAAAATTCGTATTTCAGATAAAATTGTCCCAATGATATCACGTGTCATAAAATCATTAAGTCAATTTAACTTTCGAATTGTGGCGTACTTTACGCTTGTTGCCAAAACATATTTAATTTATCGTTACAAGCTATAATAAAGTCTCCCACGTCTTTGTATATTCAGTCTTCGTGTTGTTTGACCGGATTCCAAGAGTATTTTTATCTTGGAAACTCGTTTACTATTAGATCTAAAAAATGAAAAAGGAAAAAAAAATAAAAACAAAAGAATTCTGAAAGAATCGATAAATGGATAATATAATTAATAACTTTAAGGGTGAATATAATAGGTTAGAAATTGTATTTCTGATCTGTTGATAATAACCAGTTTATTTAAGTAAAATTAGATTCCATAATTATGTAAATGTGATAAAATAACTATGTTACATAAATATTTTAACAGTATTACAAAATATGCAGGTGGACGAATATAAGAGATCTAAAAGAAGAATAAAGTATTTGATTTTTCATAAATGAAGCTAAATTATAGGTTTAGATTATGTCATAAATATAAATTATCTGAATCGAAGATAAATTGTTATATAACATTTTGCTTTAATAATATCATAAATTTTATTTGATAATTATGCAAAATTCTTGTCTTTTATTTAAACTTTATAAATAAGACATTAAACAATTCTTATAAAAAAATTCAAATATTAAATTCTAAATATTCTTAACTATGTAAAAATATAATAATATTAGAAGCTATAAATTGATTTAAAATAGACCAAATGAATCAAGTGATATAAAACTATAAATATCAAATCATATTTCCCTTTTGTTTTTTTTTTTTGCATAATAGTACATAATTCATAAATTTCTTACGATAATTGATTTCTTTCATTCAATTTTTGTTATTTCGATTGATAACTTCGTTTATTTATGTTTTAACTTAGAAACTTCTTGAATCATAAATGTAACGAAAAATAATGCAATCCATAGAATCATATTACGAATTATCTAATTCGTTGGTTTTTTTTTCCTTGTTTTGTCTTTTTCATTCTTTTTATTATACTTTGTATCACATGCTTTTTATTCATACGTGCACATTCGAATATTTGCAGTCGTCTTGTGATTAAATTGTTTTTATTGTTGATAGGTGCCAAAATATAAAAGGTCAAAATGCAACAGTTTTTTCTGACTTTCATCACTCTTCAACATCTCTCATATGATAAGTTTTTTTTTTTCATTTTTTTTTTAAATAGTTCATTATAATTCAGGTTTTTTTTACTTTGATAAATTATAGTTTTTAAAATAAATAGTTTATATATACAATATTATTGGAATTCAATATTTATTAAATTCAATATTCATCACATTTTTTTCGGCAAGAAAATATTTCAATATTCATCCAAAACTCCATATTTGTCATCAAAAGTTTTTTTTAGATTTTTAATAAAAATTCAATTTTTGCTTTTAAAATTTTATTTATTTGAGATTTGAAAAATACGATTATTTTTTTCATTAACTTTTCTTAGAAAAATTGATTGTATATTCGTCCACTTCGATATTAACGACAAATATAGAGATTCCACTATACGTAAAAATAAATTTATTTCTATTAATAGTACCTATCATACGAGTTTCTTGATTTTAAGAACACTTCGAATTTTTATACAGGAAGTCGAGTTCCCCATATCGATTAAATATCGATGAATTGACGATGTATCGACAAGATCAGCCAGTGGAATCATGGTGGTCATCACGCTCCATTTCTTTCGACCAATTGCTTTCGATGATCGACTATGGCGAGCTCGGCGCCAAAAATAATTGCCAGACCTCCGCGATTGCAAGGCAGAAAGCGAAACGAGAGCGTTTCTTCTTCCTCGCTTCATGTGTATACGTTACGCGACTGTGTTGTTGCCTTCCTGAACCCATCCTTTTATTGTTTTTATTTTCTTCACCTTGCATGGAGCGGTACAGTGGTAACTTCAAGGGAAAGGTGAGAACGTAGAAATTTTTTGTTTATTTGGTACTTACCTTTACAAAAAATAATAAGCACCTTTCCTTTTTTTTCTTTTTATTTTTTTAATTGTAAGTACAAATTTCTGCGTTACATTTCTTTTTAGGATTTTATATTTTATGTATATATATATATTTAGATTATAAAGTAAAATATAAATATTGCAAATTTTTATTTGTATCATATTTAATTTTAAAAATATATTTTTTTAAATTTAAATTATTCGATGTATTATTTGGTCATTGCAAATATATTTCCATAGTTTAATTAATTGAAGTAAAGTTTAGAATAGTTTAGAAAAATATGTTCAGATAGATTATGGAACTATTGAAGTTCAAAATTTGTTTATTTTCATCATTGATTATGTCGATAGATTCATTATTGTATTGTAACATAAATGTAAGAAGAGATTTTCGTGTCGTAAGAGCAAGTTGAGAGAACGTTTTGCGCGTCAAAATTTCAATACATAGGTTAGGATGACGATCATCCACATTTCCTGTGTTCGTTCTTTCTATTAACAATTTTGGCTGAAAGCCAAATCTTGTGATCAGTGCTTCAAATTTCTCTTCGATGTCATTAACGTGAATTTTGTCTTCTTGTTTACAAACAAATCAATGATTGATATGAATAATTAAAGTTACAAATCTAAATTAAATCTCTTTCGAATTTTAGAAATACAATATGCAGTGTTGAAAGTATTTTTAACAAAATATTTAATCCAAATTTAAACTAACATAATCTGAACTTATTCCAAATTTTACTCGAACCTAACCTAAATTTGTCATTCAATTTAATCTAAACTTAATTTAAAATATAAAAATAAAAATTATTTTTACATATATTTAAATCTAATATAATTTAACCTATACTTCAATCCAAAAAATATGATATGGATATAGTATGCGAAATATTTTTGTATTTGAAACGGTTGTTATATATAAGAAAAATTATTCAAAATAATAAGATTATTAATGAAGGAAAAATATATGGAGCATGTTTTATGAACACTTATATTCTACAATCATTAATGATTCTTTGTTTTTACATAACGTAAGCGATAAATATAGGCGGACAGCTGAGTTATATCATTAATTCAAAAAGGTGCAACTTAATTACGGGGTTAACTTCCAACGAACCATTAATAGATTTTTTTTTTGTGCAATCAGACTCATCAAGGCATATTAAGAATATATAAATCACTTATATACGCCATCTTAAATACCTTTTTATCATATTAACCTATCATTGAATAATGAAAATATATATATTATTATACCATTCTAGTTATATACATATCTATTATCTATATATTTCTAAATTTAATATATTTCTAAAAAATTAAAATTTATTTTAATTTTTTTTAATATTTCTAAAATTTAAAAAAAAATGAAATTCTTCACAACTTTTGAAATTCTCAAAATTTTCGAAGACAAAAAACAAATTTTTTTTGAGAAAAATTAAATCTTACACCATATTCGAAATTCTTAAAATTTTTTTCTCGAATTTTCAAAATTATTTTAATTATTTAATTATTAGAAATTTTTCCTAAGAGAATGAATATTGTATAAAGCTCCTAAAATCTTCCATCACGCAAAGGTTGAAAGGGAATTGAAAATAATCTTAAGGAAGGCCAATAAATCCAGCTTATAGAATCGAAATAATTATAAAAATAGGAAGACTCGGGTTATTTTCGTTCAAGGATGCTGCTACGTAGGATTACACGATATACGATGAACGATGAACGTAATTCGAAGCTATTACAACAACAGCGTTGTAATAGCGGTTGTAAGTTTAACTGTGGCGGATAATAATATGATTGTACGTCTAGTGCTCGACCCCGGGAACCGTTACAACCGCTGAAGAAGCTTCACGTTCACTGCTCTTCGTCGTTGTGTCGCTAAGCTTATAACGAAAAATAAATTTTGTAATTGACGAATTTCTTTTCAACATTAATATTTTGGATATTGTCAGTAAGAACTTTTTAAAAAAAATATGGACAATATGGACAACCAACTATTTTTTTTGTATTAAATTGAAGTTGATTGAATTATTTGTTTGATAATTATTAATATGGATTATAATTTTAAAAAGAAATATTTTAATATATATTTCACTATATATCGTATTTTTAGATTTAGAATAAATTTAGATTAAATTTAGGTTATATAAGATAGGTTAAGATTGGTTTAAGGTTAGGAGATGTAATCCTAGATAAAAACATTTTAAATATTAAATACCTTACTTTAGAAATTTGAAATAAATTTAAAATAAATAAAGTAAGTTAGGATTAGGTTATAATTTTAGATAGAAATATTTCAAATACTAAATATCGTAATTTTAAGGTTTGGAATAGATTTGGCTTAGGTTCAGGAATATAGATAGATAGGATAGGTTAAGATAAGTTTAATTTAAAGTTTTAATCTCTTCTGTACGACATTCGCTTATGTTATAGATTACAGATACTAAAGATAAACTCAACAATCAACCTATTCATTTCTTAACTGACTAAAATCAACAATCGAAGAAGTTAATGTGTAATTTACTTTAATTATTTACTATTAAATAAATATTAAAAAGGAACAAAAATTTTAGTATTCACCTACTTTTATATAAAATAATAGTATACGTATCCAAATTTTTATTTATCATCTAATTTTCCTCTCTCTTAATTAATTAAACCATTCAATATTATATTAAACTATTTCCATTTATTATTCAATTTCAAATTCTTGTCACCAAATTTTTATCATCTAATTTTCCTCTAATTTTTTTCCTCAAATTTTTCCATTTATCATTAACATTCAATATCCATTATACTAAATCATTGTTCCATTTTGTCCCAAGGATATTTGAACAGAACTGGGATTAATTTTTTTGAAAATTTCGTGACCAAGATAACGGTGTATCGTTCATTAACGCCACCGCGTAAATTCGTTTCTCAGGTTAGTACGGGAAGGTTGGCGGTCGTGTATCAAGCGGAAGTGAAAGATTTACGAGGAGATACGTGCAAATGGCGAGGAGATGAGAAAATTTATACTACGCTGCGCCTAAGATTCGATCCGTTGGCCGCGAATTGTATTCAAATGACGATCGTGAACCCTGCGCGACCCCTCGCGTGATTACGAAACTATACAGAGGGACACATCGACTATCGCGCCACGTGAGATCACGTGCTATCACGTATTGCGTATGAAATCTGTTGGAAACAAATTATTACGATCCTGATTTCACGTCATTATGCGCGTTGTCACTCGTGAAAGGGTATCGTGGTTTTGTTCTCACGTTTCATATGGATGAAAATAAATTTCTAACCTAACCTGATGAAGAATTCAGGAAGCTAAATGTAAGATGTATTCCGTGAAAGTGAATTGATTCGAGAATTTCATTTTCAAGAAATTTAATTCTATTCTATCATTCGTAAATTTTTTATAATTTTTCATTCGTGAAAAGATATTGTAGTTTTATTCTCATATTTCGTATGGATAAAAATAATTTTAACTTAACGAAGAATTGGCTAAGGAAATCAAATGATGTTATATTCTTTTGATTGGTTCGTGAATTTCATTTTCAGGGGATTTCATAATTTTCAGTAATTTGCAGCTTGTGTTCTTTAAATATATTTATTGATGAAAGTTAAGCAATAGATTGTATTGTTCATAAATTTCTTTATATTTTATATCTCTATTTTATGTTTATGTAAACATATTCGAAGAAAACTTATTGATATGTTGATTGATTTTCTTATGTTATTTTTAATTTCAAAAAATTATAAATATAAATAAATTCGATTAGTTTATTTGTCCTAATTTTTACTTTTATGAATATATGTTTTTTTAACTATTGAATAACTACACTACGATTTTTTATACATTTTTGTAAAATTCAAATATAAAAAAAATTTTAAATTTAATTTATATGTATAGAAAAAGATATATACAAAAGTATTCAAAGTATATTATGCATTATGATATTTAAAGAATATAGACATATCTCTTTGTAAGATTCCATTTTTTCAATTAATAATAATAACACGTGATATGGTATTATATCAATAAACTTCTACTTAAGATTATAAATTCGAATTAAAAATTTCTTATCATTTTATTAAAAGAATTTTTCAAAGCCAACCGGATTTTTCGACATATCTGCTATTGATTTAGATTATAACATAACAATTTTATTAATAGAGAATTATTAAAATCAAAAATTAATCGATGTGAAAACTATTTAGTTGAGTACATATTGCCTTTAAATTTACAAGTTTTCACAGGAAAGTTTCTCCACTAATGCATAATTAATTTTCCTCGTTCTTGGCTCACTCTATCACGCGGGTGACTTCAGTTAAATATATGGGATAGTTCGCTTTAGCTGATAAGGAACGTGTATTGTGTCAATTAAGCGAAAGATTGAGAAGCTAAATTTATTTCTGCGCCGTAGATTTTTTTGAAAAATCGGCGACCATATTTCACAACTTATAACAACACATATATTTTTTAAACATCAATAAATTGATAAATGCAAACATTTCGTAATTCTAACAAAATAGATTATTATTACTATCAATTAGAATTTCAATTTTTTTACTTTTAAAAACTTAAGATATATATCTCTTTCTCTCCCTTTGCACAAAAACATTTACTCCCCAGATAAAATAGAATCAATTTTCAAACATTCCACTTTCAATTCTTCCAAACAATTATCCATACACTGTTGTAATTATCAAATTTTCTTTTCTAAACCAAATTCTAACAATTCTCAATATACTTACTTTCCAAATAACTAATTCTACTTCTCAAACATTCCGTTTCCAATCTTTCATCGTACATTATTATATATAATTATGAAAAATTCACAATTCAAGTTCTCTTTTCTAAATCAAATTCTCATAATAAAACTTCTAGTAGTCGTAAGATTCAAATAATAAGAAAATTAGCGATCAATCGAAATTTTGGTAAATTTGCAGGCGAGCACCGAGAGCCGAGAGGCGGAAGAGCAGGGTAGCAGCACGACCTCGCCCTCGGAGGGCAGGCACGCCGACGGGACATCCGGCTCGTCCGTCCTCGAGATGGGCAGCACGGATTCGGCGGGCAGCGCCCACAGTGGCGGCCCTTCCTGTGGCCTGGTCAGTTCTCTTTTTCCGAGCAGCTGCCGTGGACGAGCCGAGGCGTTCGCCAGACGCCTCCACCGACGGCTCACGTCCCTAGGTGGCGAGAACAGTTCCCAACGAAACGAAGAATCTCCCTCGTTGCCAAAAGAGACATCCTGGTTGCGCTCCACGACCACGGCCAAGTCCATCATGAACAACACGACCAACAACCACGTTCTCCAGCATCAACCGCGCCACAATCCTGATACGGATCTCTGCTACGACTTCGACCTCGAATTCGAGGATGGCCTCAGCTCGCCCGCGGAGGAAGCCACCGCGGCAGAAGTGGCGGATCTGGTGGTGAACCAGGAGGTATTGAAGTCGAATCATCACAGCATCCATCACAGCTCGCCCAACGGGTCCAAGGCAGTGCTCTCCAGCATAGATTCTGAATCTGGCTACGCGTACGCGTCCCCGTTGCTAGGCACATCCCCCGACAGCGATTCGTCCGACATCTTCTTCGATCCGGAATCGTCCGACGTGGAGAAGTCGAAGAACGAGATGTTCTTCGATCCCGTGACCACGTCCGATAGCGAGATCACCACGTCGAATCTGTCGAACGGATGCGACACCAAGGCGAAGAACGCCGCCTCCTATCGCAGAAAACTGGACTTCAACGTGATGGAACATTCCGAGGACACGTCCGAATCGAGCGCCTCGTACAGGAAGAGCAACGTGGTGTGCGACGGCAACAAGGAGACGAGGAAGAACGACACCTCGGTGTGCAGCTCGGAGGATTCGAACGACAGAACCTCGCAGGAAACGTCCACGTCGCCCAGCCACGAGTCGCTGTGGAGCACGTTCGACGAGAGCACTGTCTCCCTCCAGGACGAAAGTCCCTCCAAATCGAATGTTCCTGGCTTGAACATGCAGAATCGGTTGCCCAAGTCGCATTCCGATTCCGAGATACCCGTAAACGGATCGAGGATCGTGATCGGTTGCTCGTTGAACAGGAGAGACGAGACGGTGGTGCAACACGCCGATGGTGCCGACGAGGTCGATTTCGTGAACGGTTTGTCGGAGAATGGGAAGCTCGAGGACATCAAGAACGCTAGGAATCTTGCCAAAGAGGAGTCTCCGGATTCGTCCGATACATACGAGGAGGATCTCCCTTACGACGAGGAGAAGCCGCAACGCTCGAACAACGTCCTCAAGTTGGACGAGATCGACGGTGGAAACGAGACGGTCGACGATCGTTCCACGTACACCGGCACGAACAGTATCCCTGGTGCTTTCACTCTGGAATATCCCGTATCGGACGGGATGCTCGAGACAACGAAGAACGAAGTACAAATAGAGAACGGAACTGTGACGAATAGCAGCGACGAGGACAAGATGTGCCTTCTGCTGCACAAGCTGGCGACCAGCCCAACTGTGAAGGACGACGTTGTACGCGTCGTGGATCAGGAGCCACGGAAAGACAACGTCGAGGAGGAAGAGGAGGAGGAAGGGGAG